TAACAGTAAATATTCATTAATTTGAATGGCTTAATTTACTAACAAAAATTTTGATTATAGTAAAATTACTTAATAGTTTGACTATTTAGTTGATCTATCGCGAGGTACATTTGCTCATTTTATAATAAAGGAATTAGGTATAAATGAATAGATGAATATCGATTTTGCAATTAATAATTTTATACTATATAGCATAATGTAAGGCTATATGAAGTTAATAGTAGAATTTAACCTAGCCAGTTTATGAAAACCAACTTATTAATTTATATGGCCTAAATTATATATATAATTTTATTTCTAAAGGAATAATGGCCATCAAAGTAACTGGATTTTTTTTTGCCTATTTCATATCTACAGTGTACAAAATAAACTGTTTTAAGTTGTTTTTATCCTTATAGCATTTGCCAAACATACAAAGACTTTATGACTCTGGAAGATAAATTTTTGAGTAAAAATTATAGTTTAAAAAAAAAATAAATTGACTAGCTTTTATATTTTAAACAGTTTTATATCAACAATATACTGGTTAAGCAAAATATCAGTTTATATGCAGAAGTGATATAGAGTAAAATTCTATATATTTTCTTGCAAATGCGATTCATACGTAGCAAATAATAAACAACTGACTAGTATTTCATAATCTGAGAATAATCATCTTCTATGCATCCTATTTTTGTATTTTGATACCTTTTGAGAAAGCATATTAGATGATTATTCATCACAGGCATTTTGCACAGCCATTTTCAGGGACCCTTCGTAGCCACTAACTAACCAATTTGGCGCCAAAAATGGCTTCGATAGTTCCTTTTCATAATAACCAACAGTATCCTGAACACGAGATCATATTTTTGGAATCTTAGACAATTCAGCAAATATGCGATTAACGTAATCACGTAGAAATGACCATAACTATATAAAAAGAAATTAATATGAGAACTTTAAAAAGGGTAATCATTATTAAACTTACAGTAGTTGATCGCCATCTCAAATCCTTGGTAACGACCTTTTTTTTACCGGAAGGATTCTCTTCATCTGTTTTTGAAACTTCTGGTAAATGGTATCTATTGCTGTTTTTAATTGGCCTAAGCTCTCGATTTCTAAATAACCTAACCAGTAGATCATTAATTGCACGTAGATGTTCAATTGTTTTCGACCTATTTGTTCGCTTCTATAGATTATAAATGTTATAAAATTAGTAAATAATCAGGAAAAAAAAACAATTACAAAATAAATTTACTTCATTTCTTCTGTTATTCCGATGTTTTCATTTAGCACGTTTATTTTGGCGCACAATAGGTTGCTGTTTAAACAAATGCTCCTCATGCTTATGCTTATGACAATGATGAATCATATCATACATGATAGCTTCAGAAACTGGAAACATTTCTAAATCTAATGTACTCATTACTGTTGAAACTATAGTATTATTTACTAAATCTTTTTGAGAACTGAATATTTGATCTAATTTTAATTGGCTTTGAGCTGGCATTCTTTTAATGATCCAAAAAACTTGATGCTAAATATAAAATATAAAATAATTATTTAATACGGTATGTATAATAACGACAAAATATATAAAAACTTACTCTTATGACAACTCTGAGATTATAAGGAAGATCATTAATAGATAAGTATTTAGTATTATATGAATAACAGATTGAAGAAATATTTTGGCTTGGTTTGTCTCGAGATCTTGATCGACTCTGGCTCAATCGGTCTTAAGATCTTGATCAATTTCGGTCTTGAGATCTTGATTAACTCTGGCTCAATCGGTCTTGAGATCTTGATCGACTCTAGCTCAATTGGTCTTGAGATCTTGATCGATCTCTATTTAATTGGCCTTGAGTTGACCGACCTCTGTCTTGGGTTTGCTCATCTTTACTATATATGTCTGATTCTGGTCTTATTACATTCTTAAGAAATTCTTCAAACAAATTTTGAATCTCTTGTCATGTTAATGAAGTGACTTGGTCTGAAAAATATATTAATTGTATAAATTATAGTATAATGTAGATATGCAATTGCAGATATAAGGCTTATCTTCTTTCTTTCTCTTTTGATTTATTATAGCCTCTATCTTTGTTTTTTGACAAACTTGATTGAGATTTATTTTGACCCATGCTCAAAATGATAGGAGCTTTTGCGATGTATAATATACGTATGTATATATAAAAATATATATGACGAATAATTCTGATTACTCCTTTGATTACTTCTTTTATACTGTGGTTCTTTTATATATATATCGAACTAAGAATCTAGCAAAAAATAAAAATTTTTATATATAGATATCATTTATTATCACAAGGTATAGTTATATAACTTAAAAATTTAATAACGATTTATCTATGAAACTTACGATATAGTATTGCATAACAATCATATAGTTTAAAAATTTAATAATGACATAAGCACAAACATTCCATGATATAAAGATATATAACTAAAAGATTTACTAATCACGATGAATAAATAAAGAACGTCTTTTTAAAAACTTAATAGACGTATTGCATAAGTTAGGGTTTTATCAATATACTCTATAGATGCTCTACAAAACTCTTTTGCCATTAACGAATTGATGATGAAATTAACATAACTGTAAGTTTCGTCATTGATAAAATAACGAAACTACATAATTTTGTTAGGCCACATAAGTTTGTCAAATATCATTACTATATTCCTGATTAATACTCTGTCAATATAAAAATTTATTAAATATTTATCATGCTAATGACTTGCTAGTTCAGATGAAACAATTAAATTAACAATTTAAACTTCTAAAAGTTACATCTTATAACACTCATAAGTTGATTAATAATAAGA